ACTCCCAGAGCCCCTGCCCAGCCCAGCCAGGCTCACTCCCAGAGCCCTGTCCTGCCCAGCTGGCAGCAGTGGGTGAAGGGGACACCTTCAGTGAGTCAGGGAGGACCCCAAGGGACTTTCCAGGCAGGTGTCCATCAAAGCCCCACACTCGGGGCAGAGCCTCAGCCCCAAGACACTGATGGAAGCTCCCTGCCCAGTCTCCCCCCACCACACCTGCCCCCCAGCATCTTCCCCAGGCTCTCCCTGATGGGTCAGCCAGGCCCACCCTCCTGGCCCCTCCCCTCCTCTCCGAGCAGGTGGGAGGAGCCGAGGGCCAAGGTCTGTCCTGGCCCGGCACCTCCTAGAAAATTCTTCCCCAGTTTGGGCTGGGCCAGCCGGGGGTGGGGCGGTGGGCAGGACCCGCTGGGCGTTCTGCTCCTGCCCGCTGAGTGCTGCCGCCCTGGTGCCCGCCAGGCTGCAGGTGCCCTGCGACAGCACCGAGTGGGAGATGAACCAGTGAACACCCCTGACTGGCGTTGTTCTGGCTTTCTGGGAAGCCTGCTGGAGCATCAACAGACCTTCCACACCTTGTCTGGCGCAGAGTCACCCATGTGTATCCCAAATGGACAAATACTCAATCCCGTTCCCACGTGACTCCCTCGGCCCGGAGTGGGCAGAGCAGGCGAGTGCCAGGCCGCAGGGAGGGCGGCTCTTCCTCCTCATCCAGGGGCTCATGGCGGCAGCGAGGCCAACGGACTGTGGGCTGCCAGAGGGTCCCCGGCCGGGAGCAGGGCAGGGGCCCCTCGCTGAGTACAAGGCCAGACCTGACAGGTGGAGAGAGGGTCCTGGGCCCAGGACAGGGCCCCTCGCTGCACAAGGTCGGGGGCAGGGGTCCCGGGAGGGGGGTCGGCCTTGTCCCTGTGGAGGAGTTTGGGGTGTGGCCAGAAGGGGCGAGGGACTGGGGGAGGCCAGGCAGAGGGACCCAGTCCTTGCCCCTCCCCTCTCCCACACCTGTCCCTGCTGCACTGGTCACTGTTGGAGGCGCAGGGACCCCTTGGGCGGGTGGAACTGCATCCCCCTCCTGCTTGTTCCGTTCTCTTCACTTGGGGCTTCCCCTGAGCCCCCCTGGCATGACTGCCATTCCGGACCCCGGCCTGTTCCCCACCCACCCCGGCTTCTGAGCACGGTGCTGGTCCCTTCCCAGCATCCACTGCAGACGCAGGCTCTGGCCGAGCTTCTGCCCATCACACCCCTGGCCCCGGCCCCACCCATCAGTGCTGTGTCCGTGTCCCTCCAGCTTCCAACCATCTCGGATCAACTGTGCACCCCGTGCAGCATGCCTGTCCCCGCCCAGGCCCCCAGAAACACTGCCACCCCATCCTGTGTATAACCCCCTGCCTCCCTGGGCCACCCGGCTGCCCTCCTGGGCTGCCCACCACCGGCCATGGAGGCAGCCCGGGCCCTGAGAGTTGGGGGAGTGGCCTCTGGGCTGCCCCCCGCCTGGACCCTCTCCCGGCCCGGCCGCCCTGCAGCCGCAGACACTCCAGTCACCAAGGACCTGACCTTTGGGGGAAAGCAATAGAGACTCTCTTCTCTCTCTTTTTTAAAGATTTATTTCTTGAAATAATAAATATTTTATTGGGATGTGAGGTGCAGAGGAGGAGCCTGCTGTCTCTCATCTTTTCTGGGACGCGAGGGGTGGGGGGAGCGAGGGGCTGGGAACGCCCAGGTGGATCCCGGGTCCCTGCTCCACATCGTAGAGGCTGAGGCTCGGCCTCAGGCTGCCTGGAGGAGGGCCTGCCTCCTGTCTTAGACTCTTAATGAGGTGAGTGGGGTGCAGGGGCAGAGGGGCAGAAGCAGGCTGGTAGCAGGAGAGAGAGGAGTCTGACCTGCACCCAGATACAAGGCCAGAGGGTGGCGGGAGGGGTCCTCCAGCCCTTCCTCCCAAAACCCAAATGGCCGCCTCACTTCAGCACCACCCACCCCCTGCAAACCGAGGAAACCACAGGCCCAGGCGCCTCCCCCTCCCCCTTACAGGTGAGGGAACAGCCATGGCAAACACCTGGGAGCCTCAGCCACCCCCACCCGCTGCCCTGACCCATCCAGCCAGCGACCGCGTGGGCATCAGAGGCTCTGAAAAGCATGGCGCCGGGGTCTCGAGGGGCAGCGCCTGGCAGCACTTCTGACCCCAGGGATCTGGGGGGCCTTTGAGGCCTGTCCCTCCCACTCCCACTCCCACTCAGGCCCCAGGCCAGAGGCGCTGCTCCCACAGCCTAGGCGGGGAGGCCGCAGCTGCTGATGAGCCGGGGGATGAGGAGGGAAGAGGCGGGCGCCAGGTGGGCCTGGGGCAAGGAATGCACACGCACATATGCACACACACACATGCACATATGCAAACACAGCTCCGTGGGAGCTCACGGGCAGGAGAGGGTGCGGAGGCTGTGGACAAGCGCCCTTCCAGAACCGGGAGGTGGGAGGGAGGGCTGCAGAGGCATGGGGCCTCCTGGGAGGCCAGGAAGCCGGGAGGCTGGGCGGTCAGCCGGACGGACTCTGCTTTGTCTCTTAGCTGGGACTGGGCCTGGCAGACTTAACCTCCCTCCCGCCTGGCACCGCAGCTGCCCCTCCCTGTGGTTGACTCCAAAGGCCCCTCAGAACCCCAACCTGCTCCGCGGGACCCGCCCTGTGGTTCTCGTGTTTCTCCTGTGAAATAAGGAAGGTGATCCCGGCACGTGGGGGCTGAGGGTGCATCGAGGTCAGGTGTGAAGTGTGGTGAGCTGGGATGTGAGTGTTCAGTAATGGACCTACGGGCCGCGGACCTCAGGTCTGCCCCAGGTGCCTCCAGGTGGCCTCCGGGTGCCTCTAGGTCCAGGGCTCCTGCCCCTTCCTGGCGGGTGAGGACAGTGAGGCCCCGGGGAGAGCAGTTCCCAGCCTGGCGCTGCCCAGACCGGACACCAGACATCCTGACCCCAGAGCCGGAGGCCGTCGCCAGCCGAGCGGCTGGTGGGCGGCTTATCCTTGGGCAGCGGAGGTGGCAGGGGCTGTGGGTTGAACTGTATCCCCTGCGGGGACCTGATATGGAAGAGCCCTTGCAGACGCAGTGAAGATGGGCCGCTGGGTGTGGGCGGAGCCCCAGCCCGATGACTGGCGTCCTGGTCAGAGAGGGAGGGGGCACGGACACACGGGGGAGGAGGCCACGTGGAGACGCGGGCCGAGATTGGAGGGGTGCAGCCACAGGCAGGGGTCAGGACAGATGCCGGCAGCACCAGGAGCTGGAAGAGGCGTGAAGGGGCCTCCCCTCCCCTAGACTGGGGAGCTCGGCCGGCCCGCCCTCCATCTCAGACGTCTGGCCTCCAGAGCTGTGAGAGAATCATATCTGTAACTTCGAGCCCTCCGATTTGTGATCGTTTGTTGCAGGAGCCACAGGAACTAATGCAGGGGTCATGGGCCGCCTGCCTTTAAAGATAATCACCCACAGGGCTCAGCTGTGGCCAGGGAGTCCCGAGCTCAGTGTTCCCCCCGCCAGGCCACTGGCCTGCACGCAGCTCAGTCCACCTTTTCCCAGAAAAACGTGGAGCCTTCTCAATAAAACCCCCAAGGAGACAGAACGCTGGGTCCCAGGGATTCAGACCCACTGGAGATCACATCGGTAACCCCACCCCTGCCCCCCAATACCCTCCCAGGCACGGGCCCTCGGGGTACTGGGGAGCAGCACCAGGTGATCCCAGCAGAAGGGGGTGCTCCCAGCAGAAGGGGGTGGTCCCCACACACCTCCCGCTGGATTCAGCCTTGATCACTGCCTCTGCCACGGCTAAAAATAGCTCAGCCCCAGCTTGGCTTCTGCATATATTTGCATATTGGGCTTGAGACTCATGAATATGGAGAAACAGGGCAGCTGACTTGTTTGTGCAGCAAACCCAACAGAGGACACTTGCCCTCCTGGGGTCATTCCGGCTCCCCCAGTGCCATGGCCGCCTAGCCTGACCATCCGCCACCTCTTCCTTCAAGAGCCTTAGTGGGGGGGTCTTCTCCAGTGGGGGTCCCAGGGCTGGGGGGGGCTGGGCTTTGGGTTTTGGAGCGCTGGGAGTGCTTCCGGCTGGGGGCTGCATGAGACACCTGAGGCTCTGTCCTCTGACCCTAGACCCGCCTGGTCCCTCAGAACCGCTCCCCGTGCCTGTGCATTGCAGGGACCTCAGCAGGGGAGGTGGAGGGGGGCAGATAGCAAACTCCTAACCTCGGCTAAAGCTGGATTCAGGGCTCCCCATGTCCCATCGTGTTCCCCCACGGCCCCTCGTCCATCCCACAAACCCTTGCACAGCACAGCGCGTGGTGCAGCGCTTGGCCAAGGTACACAGTCTCTCCCCCCACACCCCCGCCTCAATGGCCGTGTCCTGAACACCAGTGTCCAGGGCCTGAGCCTGGGGAACCCCCGGCTTCTGGGTCTGGTGACACTTGCTTTTCATCAATCCTGGAACCTGCCCAGCCAGGGAGTTTCCTGCCCCGTCCTGTCCTCGAGGCCAGGGTCCAGAAGAGGCCTGGCTCCAGGCAGGGGCCCAGCTCCCACCTCAGGCCCAAGGCCCCGCGTGTTAGATTCCCGGGAGTTTTTATAAGCCGGGGTTACAGTGTTGGTGTCTTGAACGGGGGTGGGGGGAGTGTTTGTGCCTCAGAAATTGGCCTGTGCAACAAATCCAGGCTTTTGATGTCTCATGTGCGTTGCGTTTTGGGGAGACCTGCCACCGATGGGGGGCCCTCCGCAGGGGCGTCTCACCCGCTGGAGGGCTTGCTGTTTGACAGTGTGACCCTCACCCCGCCCCCTGCTTCCTTTCTGCGCCCCCTCCCGGGCCCTCAGCCCCCCTCATCCTGGGTTTGGCAGCTGACTGGGGCTGCGCAGGTCCTGCCTCCCTCGCCGCTGCTCAAGGAAATAATTAATAATAATTAATGAATAAGCTGTGTTTATTGAGAGCCGTTTACACAGAAAGCCTCAGGGTACAGGGCACTCAGATGTAATTAAAAGTGACACATTTTAAACTTTGAAGCACAAAGCTGTTGCCCAGGACAGGGCTCCCCGCTCCCCGCACCTTCCTCTGACCCCCATTTTGTGGGTGGGGCCTGGGAAGGCAGGAAGAGGGGCCTCATCGTGGGGCTTAGGGTGCAGCCCGAAGATCACCCACCTACCTGTGCATCCACCGACCACCCATCCACCCACTCACCACCCAT